GGGGAGGAGAGGGCCAGACGGGGAGGGGGTCTGGGGTCTGAGAGGGTGCCCGGGACCCGGGGGCTAGGAGAAGAGAGAGTGGAGGGGCCGAGGGTCGGAGGGGGGCGAGGTGCGAGAGAGGCCATGCTGGGAGGGGGTGTGATCCGGGGGGAGGGGCTCAGGGCCCAGGGGGTTAGGGGAGGGGCGTGGAGGGCCGAGGGGAAGGGGCTGGGGTCCAAGCGGGGCGAGGTAGGAGAGGGGCCCTGCGGGCAGGGGTCCGGGATCGGGGGCGACGGGATCAGGGCCCTGGGGTTTAGGGGAAGGGGTTGGAGGGCCGACGGGGAGGGGTTTGGGTCCATGCGGGGCGAGGTAGGAGTGGGGCCCTGCCGGGAAGGACCGAGAGGGGCCGGGGTCTCCCTGGCGCCCGGGCGGGGCCGTCGCAGCCGCGGCTCCTGCGGCCCGGCCCGCACCTACAGGGAGGTTTAGCAATCAGGTCACTGGAAATGCAGCGACACGCGCAGCTGCAGACGGCCGAGAGGCTCTAAATTTGGAGCCATCCCTCTTCTTCTGGCTGTGTTGGAAATCAGCAGAAAGGTGCTTCTGGGTTTTTGGTTCCTCTGTTGGAATCGCCTGAGTGTGGCACCAGGAACTCGATCTCCGCGGGCGGCCTCCCTGGAGCGGGTGCGGGGCTTCCTCCGCCCGCAGTTTGTGGACGTGTCGGGCCTGGGGGCGGGGGTGGGATGGGGGGGGTTCCGTTCCCCGCTGATCGCAGCGCTGGCGGCATCCCCACTGAGTGCGCCCTCCCCGGGCGCTCCGCTTGGCGCGGGGCTGCCTGGGCCCCGCGGCGCTCTGCCTGGCTAATCCCCCAGGCCCTGACCGCGGGATTCAGCCGGGCGCCGGCTGGCGGCTGGCGAGGGCTGAGATCCCAGGGCTGTGGGTCGGTGGGCCCCCCTGCCCGTGGCTGAGCGCGGCTGAGCCCCTGGCGCAGTCCTGACTCTCCTCTGGTTGGAAAAGTGCTCCCAGATGCTCAGGGAGCCGGGCAGAGTCCTAGAGGCAACTTTCAGACCCGCTGGAAGAAGGAGCCAAAGGGATGCAGAGTTGGTTTTGATCCTCTGCCCCCCAGGAACTGGAAGTTACCCCCACCCCGTTCCCGCCCCACAGCTGACTTGTAGTGGAAGCATCTTGTTAGACTTATTCTTGAAACACTTTTGAGTGTATGTAAGTGGTGATTCAGACCTTTGCTCGCTGCCGTGCAGTCGGTGCTCAGAAAGTGGCTGAACGGTGTGAGTTAGTCATTGTGAGCGCTGGGAACTGCCTGGTGTTGCAATCTGCCAACGTCCTGGGGCCGCCGGCCACTGTGTCCCCTCAGAGCTCTTGTCTTTCCCCTTGGTCAGTGTGCAAGCAAGTGCTTTGAGTAAGCTGTGAGCCCGTGCGCCCCGAGCCGGGGGCAGGGGTTTCCCGTGAGCCACTGTGTGGGGAGTGGGTTGCTCGTGTGTTTTGGCTGCTCTGATGCCTTTTTGTTCTCTTTGGAAAGATAATTGTGTGTGGGTGGTTTTATTGTTTCAAACTGTCTCCCACAGAGGGGTTTTCCACTCTGCTTTTATGGGAGTGCAGGATTCCTTCACACTTGTGTGTTGACTTGCAGGGCAGGTCCACCATTTGTGGTGCTGAATGGGCCATTATCTTTTCTTTGAACCGTATCTTTTGGTAACGGCCATATTGAGATCTAATTCGCATGGCATCCAGTTCACCCATTTAAAGGGTACAGTTCGGTAGTTTTTAGTGTATTCAGCCATTTAGTGTACAACCTTCACAATCAGTTTTAGATTAATTTCATCACCTCGAAAAGAAACTCTGTGACCCCTTCCTGCGAAGCTCTCCCCCCGGCACTAGGCCACCGCTGGTCTACTTTTCCTCTCGATAGGTTTGCGGGTTGTGGACATTTCCTGTAAATGGACTGTGTGGCCTATGGTCTTTTGTGTCTGGCTTCTTTCACCTAGCGTAATGTTTTCAAGAGGCCTCCAGATTGCGTCGCGTCCGGACTTCACTCCTTTTCATTGCCGAATAATCTTCCGTTGTGTGTAGGCCACGTTCTCTCTCTATTACATAATATGGACGTTTGGGCGCTTTTCACTTTTTGGCTGTTATGAATCGGCCCGCTGTGAACGCTCTTCTGCAAGTTTCTGTGTGGATGTGAGTTTTCGTTTCTCTTGGGCGTGTACCCAGGAGTGGAATCGCTCCGTCCTGTGGTGACTCTTAATCTTTTGAGGAACTGCCAGACTGCTTTTCACTTCACATTCCCACCAGCAATATCAGAAGGTTCTGATTTCTCCAAACCCTCTCCGGACTTGTTGTTGTCTGGCTGTTGGTGGTATCTCGTTGTGGTTTTGATTTTCACTTCCTTGATGGTCAATGATACTGAGTTTCTTTCTTTTTTTGAATGTTGGCCCTGAGCTAACATCTGTTGCCAATCTTCCCTTGTGTTTTCTTCTTCTCCCCAAAGCCCCCCAGTACATAGTTGTATATTCCAGTTGTGGGTCCCTCTGGCTCTGCTATGTGCGACGCCGCCTCAGCGTGGCCTGACGAGCAGTGCTGGGTCTGCACCCAGGATCCCAGCTGGTGAAACCCTGGGTCGCCGAAACGGAGCACGCGAACTTAACCACTCGGCCGGGGTCGGCCCCAATGCTGAATTTCTTTACAGGAGCTTCTTACCCGTTTGAATATCTTTTTTGGAGAAATGTCTATTCAGATCCTTCGCCCCTTTTACAATGTAGTTATTGGTCCTTTTTATTATTGAGTTGTAAAAATTCTTTATATGTTCTGGATGTATGATTTGAAAATAGTTTCTCTCATTCTGTGAATTGTCTTTCTTTGAAGCTGAAGGTTTTAATTTTGTCTGGCTTTTCTATTTTTTTTCTCTTCTTCCTTATGCCTTTGGTGTCACATCTAAGAACCATCGCCAAATTCAAGGTTAGGAAAATGAATGCCTATGTTTTCTATGTTTCTATACCTGTATTTTTTTCTAGAGGCGAACAGTTTTAGCTCAGAACTTTACGTCTGCGATCCATTTTTGAGTTAATTTTCTGTATGGTGTGAGGTGGGGGTGCAGAGGCATTAGCTTTGGATCCAAAAAATGTATATGGAAGCTTTTAGTTTTTCACAGTTATTTTTGTGATGCTCTTTTAATTTAAAATATTGAGGGGGGAATAAATTATTGTAGATTTGAGCCTATCTCTAGCTGCCCTCGGGCAGATTTTTGTAGGTGCCTGCTGAGTACGGTAGTAATTGCAGTTCCCGGAATGTGCTAAGCAAGCCACAGAAGTTAGGATTTCCAGAAGGGCCTGGGGAGAGAGAGGGAGTAAAGAGTAGGGTGAGGAATGAGAGAGGAAACTGAGCACAGACAGCCCCGACTTATGATGGTTCGACTTACCATTGTTCTTGTGATGGTGCGAAAGCAATAAGCGTTCACTGGAAACCGTCCTTCGAATTTCGGTCTTTTTCCAGGACTAGCAAGATACGGGGTGAAATCCTCTCAGTGCAGGATCCACAGCTCCCAGTCAGCCCCACGCTCACGAGGGTACACAGCCGATCCGCTGACGGCCATCCTGTTTGTCACTGTCAGTACAATAGTCAGTGAATTACGTGAGATATTCAGCTTTCAGAATGGCTTTGTGTAGATGATTTTGCCCAGCTGTAGGCTCGTGTAAGTGTTGTCGGCACATTTAAGGCAGGCTAGGCTGAGCTAGGATGTTCCATAGGTCAGGTGTCTTCAGTGCGTTTTCGACTTTGGATGTTTTCAACTTACAGTGGGTTTACCCGGCTGTAACCCCGCCGTCAGTCAAGGCAGAGGTGCATTGGGAAGCCTAGCAGAGCATTCTCCCTGGAGCTCCTGATGCGTGACACGCTGCCAGCTGGTCCTGGCTCGTGCCCGTGACTGGCTTGCTCCTAGTGGGAGGGGCGCATCGTTCCTCTGCTCTGGGTGCCCAGCAGTGGGGGACCTTCCAGGCTGTTGATAGCCTTAGGGGGAGGGTGGGGAGCCGGTGGCTTGGGGAGTCGGAGTCTTGACCTCCTACAGTGATGGGCTCTGTTGGTTAGAAATGCAGCCTGCCTTTCCCTTGCTCCCTGAGTCGCCCCCTTCCCTTCCCCTTAGCTGTCGGTGTGCTGGTTTTTCTCCCAGCCGCAGCGTGATCCCTTCAGGGAGGATTTTTCTTATATTATTTTTTTAAAAACTCACAGTGAGAGAATTTTATTTTTTTAGCAGTATTTTAAATTAGAATGAACAAAAAATGGAAACCTATTAGGATTATGGCAAACAGAAAATGTCTACTAGCCATCAAGGCACTCGTGTCTGTTGGTATTAAGAAGAAACTTCATACAGTTATAAATCTTTAGAAACTTCTTCCAGTGGTTTCTCCACGTGTCTGAAAATCGGTTGAGGTTTGCGGTTAGTAAAATGTGAGTCTTCCCATCCTCCTCTCAGCTTTCTTCACAAAACCCTGTTCCATTCGGGAGGGTTTCAGAGGTATTCGAGAAGGCCGTCCAGTGGAGGGGTTTGCCCAGAGCGCCTGTCAGCAGACATGCTGAGCCTTTTACCTTTGATCTTTTTGCAGACGGAACCCCTCCCAAATGCCTGGGGACTCCTCCTTGGATTACTGGGTTTGAAACAGAATTTTGTGAACGGCCTTTTACCTTCGACCGGGAGGAAAGGTTTGTGCCTTGTGGACGTTCTGTGCTCTCTCCCCGGGACCAGCAGGGTGACTCCTTTGTCAGGGACGGGGAGGGAGCGTCTTCCCGCTGGGCTCACAGGAACGGGGCCAGTAACTTTCTGGGAGGAAATTTCCTTGTTTAAAAGATGAAGTCAAGTGTCCAGGGTTGCCTGTGGTTTAGAAGGAGGAGGGGGTTCCAGAAAACTCCGGAGTGGACGGGCAGGAAGGATGCCCATCCCCCGGGGGCCGTCTGGCCTCTCCTCCCTGGCCTGTGGCAGGTGGGAGGAGCCACGAGGCAGATGTCTTGGAGGGCACGCATGTGCTCATCCTGCCTGCCAGGGAAGCTGGCTTCCAGAAGGATGGGTGAAGATTGGGCTCGGCTTCTGTTTTCCTGATGACTCTGCAAAAGTACCAGCAAAGACAGCTGCTCTGACGGGTGCCTTGGGGGCAAGGCCCTGCGCAGAGGCCCTGTCCTTTTGTGTATCCGCAGTGGGTGGAGCTGCGGGCATCTAGGACAGTGTGGTGTCACGGGGCACATTTGACTTGGGGAGGCAGAGACTGTGGGCAGATCATTTAACTTCCGGGTTACGCTGTTTGTTCATCTGGGAATGGGCGCGTTGGGACGAGACTATCTGGCCGTGCCTCCCACGGCTGAGGTTTTCATCTGTTTGCTCTCTAAAGTCGTGTCAGTAGCAGATTACATCTGGGGAATTCTTGCCATGCTTCGGGACAGAGGGGGATGAGGTTCGAGGTGGCCTCGAAGGGGCGTTGTTGGTCCCTGCCCAGGAGACGGCGGCAGGAGTTGCCTCTGGAAGTTTGAGGGTGCTGTGCCCTGATTCCCCCTCGTTGCCGCCTGGAACCTGGACCGGAGACCCGCAGAGCTGCAGGGCTGATCTAGACGGGCGATCCTCGGGCTGGCGAAGGGCTCGTGTCCTGCCCTAATTCAGGCCGCACGAGCACCCGCGTGCGCCGTGGAAGCCAGAAGGCATGAGTTGGTGTGCTCAGCTCAGACTCCTGGATGGAGCTTCTGGTTGATTGAATTAAAATGATCTTTCGCTTGCTTCCTGGCCTATGGGAAGTTTTATGGGTACTTCTGTGGAAAATGCATCAGTTCTTCTCATACGTGGTTTTCCTTGAAACCCGTAAAGCTTAGATTTTACCTTTGCAGCTAACAAAAGAAGTATCTGGCTCAAGTCTGCAGCTGTCTTCCGTGTTCTCTTCTGGATAAACCTTATAGGCTTAAAGTGCCGAGGAAGAGAGCAGACAGCCCCTCCTCGGTGCCCCTGGCTCAGGAACCCTGGGCGTTAAATACTGTGTGTTTCCCCAGGTAGATGGGAAAGCAGCCCTCTGATAAATTACTGGAAGCGTTTAGTGAACCGTCAGAGTCTGAGTTAAGAAAATCACTGTTACATTTCCAGCAAGTCCTTGAAGTCAAAATGGGTACTCTTTTTTTTTTTTTTTTTTTTCAAATTGTGATACAATACATGTGACACAAAATTCACCATTGGCGACATTTAGTCCATTCTCAATGTCGGGGCGCCCAGAAGGGTGCTTATTTGTCTGGACGGCACCGTTGTCATAAGACTTAGTGGGTTAGGGCTGTGTTCCCAGTGAGTGAGGTAAGTGCACACGTGACTTTCTTATTTTCCAGAAGCCTTGCTCCCTTGACTTGAAGCCAGAGTATTCCTGGTGTGTTTCGGAGGCTGTCTGACAGCAGCGTCAGACTGGAACGTTCCATCCTTTGTTCCTCTGCTGTCCTGCCCGCTCAGGGCTGCGAGGGGCCGGCTGAGTGCGCAGCTCCCCGCCTCCCCGGGCTGGCTTAGAGGCCGTGTGGTTTTGTGGTCAGAGAGCTGCTCTGGGGCCTGCGAACGGCTCTGCCAGGTCTCCTAACCCTGCACTGCTCTTCCAGATGTGGAAAGCTTCAGCCGGCCACGCTGTGTCCCTCAGCCAGGACGATGGGGGAGCCGACGACTGGGAAACCGACCCCGATTTTGTGGTATGACTCTCCGCCTACCTGGGGTTGCTTTTCCTGACAGTGTCGCCCTGACCTGTTGTGTGTTTTATAGCCCAGGGTGTGGGCTTCACCCCTCCTTTCTTTTTCTTTTCAGAATGATGTCAGCGAAAAAGAGCAAAGATGGGGGGCCAAAACCGTGCAGGGGTCTGGGCACCAGGAGCACATCAAGTAAGAGCCTTTCTCAATATGGGTGTGAAATGGTGTTCCGAAAGCCGAAGGGGGAGAGGGGATGGGGACACGGACCTGTGTCAGCGGGGGACACCTTCCTGTTGGCATTGCGTTTGTTCTGTCTCGTGACGTGGTGTTTATGGTGGGTGAATGTAAGACACGTGTATCGATTTACGTGTGTGTTTGTGTGGGCGTGCATACACACATGCTCAGTAACTTACAACTCCCATTGCAAGTGGTTTCGTACGTATGGTTCCAGGGAGCCTGCTTTCGGATTGTGGTCCTCACCGAGGCACAGGCCACCTGGCTTTGCTTTCTGCAAGTGGAGTGTCACGCACGAGAGCTCTGATGCCTTAGACCCCAGACACCCCCTCCATAGTCTCTCTCATTTTGTTATAACTTTGTTACTTTATCATTGTCTCTTGGGTACTGTGAGCTGAATTCCAAGCATTGTGTTTTCATAAAAGCTGAAAACAGGAGAAGTGAGAGAAGCGTGTCGCTGCCTCTGCCTTGGTGCTCTCTGAAACCGCCTCTGGGGCAGTTGGTTTGCTTGTCAGGAAGTGTATAAAGGAACTTTTAAAGTATGCTCAGGCTTTTCCTTTAGGCTGCGCTGGCTTTGGCGTGTGCCCTCCCATTCCCTAGTTGTGACAGTGTCATCCCTGCCCAGGTGCCTGTTCGGCCATTTGCAGAGGGCCTCTCTATCTTGGCCCGGTGTCTTTGCAATAGAGTGCAGCTCTGCAGCTGAGGGAGCTTCAGTAGATCCTGCAGAAAGGAAGACGGCGTCTGCAGTGTGGGTGTTTAGACACGAGCGCGTCCTCCCTGACTCGCTGAGCCCACACCCTGCACCGATGCCACTCGGCAAGGGCCCTGGGGCTGGCTGGAGAGGACCTTGAGCTGGGAACTGACTCGGGTCTGGCGCAGTCCCGGCTTGTTGCTGCGGGGTCAGGCTGACTCCTGAACCTCTAAGGTGCCCATTTCTCTTCTCGTCTCCTGCCCCCTGTGGCTTGGAGACATGGTCAGGAGGGCGGACAGAGAAGAAGCGGACTCTGGTGCATCAGCCTCTGGGTTGGCTAGAATTGAGAGAGAGCCTTGGGGAGTAGGGCTGATCTTGGTGCCTGTGACCCTCCAGGTGTGTCAGGGTAGGGTCCTCCTTCCCCTGCTCATGGTGGGGTGGGTGGTGTCCAAGCCTGGTTTGGTTTTTAGCCACACTTCCGGGACTCTTGTGCTGGTGTTGAAGCTGTGGCCATGGTGTCCCCTGGGCAGAAAGTTCCCATGCGGGGTGGCCTCCATGCTGCTCCGGGGTCTCCTGATGGTGACAGCTGCAGAGGCTTCCTGGATGCCGGGTTTTGACCACATCTTGTGATCTGTTTCACTCTCCCTGGTGTTGAAAGTAAAAATGGCTTTGAGGTTGTAAATTCTGAGTCTTTCATTTCACCTTTGAATGTATGAAAAGCTGGAGTCCCTCGACTAAAGAGAAGCCGTCTCAGCATTTTGCATCACTGGGCTTGGGCCGGTGCCCTCGGGACATCTAGGGTGAGGGACTGTTGACTTGGTTTCCCCTCTGCCTCGGGGTGACGTTTACAGAACCAGCTCTCTGCGCTCAGTAGCTAATGGAGTGGAGAGGGTTTTCTGTGTGTGAGATAAAGACAGTTCACGTTTCAGGACAGTGACTTCCGGGGTTTTGGGGTGACTCCCTGCGCACACTCACATGGCTCTGGGGTCGGCAGGAGTAGACGGCCTGCCGGCAGAGTGCTGAGGAGCACACAGCCGAGGCAGGAGCCTGGGAGGCACCACGTCCGAGCCCTGCGGATTTGCACAGATAGCGTCACCTGTCCTCATTTATCCTCCTGGACGTCAGGGACGCACAGCTGTGTCACCGATTTGTTCCTCTTTTGTCCCTTCCCTTCCAGCATTCACAAGCTGAGAGAGAATGTTTTTCAAGAACACCAGACCCTCAAGGAGAAAGAGCTTGAAACGGGGCCAAGAGCCTCCCACGGTTATGGAGGGAAGTTTGGCGTGGAGCAGGACAGGATGGACAAGGTGAGTGCACGGGCTGCTGGGCCGTGGGCCTGGCGGCTGTGACCCTGCACGTGGCTGGCAGAGAAGGCACTCAAACCTCCTCCTCAGATTAAAAGTTTTGAGTCAATTTGTTGAGGATGAGACTTGCCCAAAGTAGTCCTCTCCCGATTGACCCTACTGGTAAAATGCTCTCGCCTTTTAGAAACTCTTTTACGATTCTCAGAATTGCTGGAGAATGGGTGATGTGTAGGGGGACCCGCAGGCCAGCTCTGTGACCAGGACAGAAGTCCAGAAGCATCTTGACCAGATGTGTCGTCACCACTGCCCGCCATTCAACGTGTAGCCAGTTGTGTCAGTCTGCAGACCAGAGTCCAACCTGGGCCCCACTTCCATAACACGGGTGAAAATTCGGCCAGCGTGTGTGCTGCTTTCCTTCGTGCATTCAGTGACCTTCAGAGAGTAGACAGGCCCTCGGTGTAAAGTCACACCCACCAGGCTGGGGAGCACTCGCTCTGTCTAAGGGCTACGGGTGGGCCTCTTGTGAGCCATCTCCGATAGAATTGAGATGTCCAGGGGCCGGCCCTGTGGCCGAGTGGTTAAGTTCGCGCACTCCGCTTCAGCAGCCAAGGGTTTCGCCAGTTCGGATCCTGGGCGCGGACATGGCACTGCTCATCAGGCCACGCTGAGGCAGTGTCCCACGTGCCACAACAAGAAGGACCCACAATGAAAATATACAACTATGTACTGGGGGGATTTGGGGAGAAAATAACAGAAAAATAATAATAATGAAAAAAAAGATTGGCAACAGTTGTTAGCTCAGGTGCCAATCTTTAAAAAAAAAAAAGAGAATTTAGATGTCTAAGTCCACGGTGATGGAGGGTGTTGACTGACTGTGTCAGCCGTTGACAGTACTTCAGGCCTCCCCTACCCTGAGAGAAGGGGCGTGGATCAGCTCCGGACGGCCGATTCCTCCCCGGAGAGAAGACAGAGTAGATGGCGGGGTGTTTGTGGGCTCCTCCAGGCAGGCAGGTCTTGACAGACACTGCAGACGTCCGCATGGAGGTGCGTTTCCCAGGCTGAGTCGTGCTAGGTGGTTCTGACCTCACAGATGTTTGCCTTTATTCTGCATCGGAGGAAGAGCGTCAGCTGGTGTTGGGTTCTGGTCTGTAATGCCACACCCGTTCGCCTGGTGCACGGATCGGAATCGGCGTCTGAGCTGGGCACCCCGAACCGGGTCTGAAATTAGCCTGGAGCTGGAGTCGGACAAAGAGCAAGCTGCAGGAAAGCGACAGGGTGTTTCCCAGCGTGCCGGCGTCGTTCCCGAGACATCTTGACGGGGCAAGTGGGAGCACAGTCATCTTTGGATTCTAACAAAGTCTGTGGCTTTTGGTAGTGCAGAGAGACAGATAGACAGACAGACAGGAGCCCGCTGTGTTCAGGGCAGTGGGGGGATCGAGTGGCTAGAAGCTCTCCCACCCCCAGCAAAGCCTGTGCTCAGGACCTTGGGGAGCTAAAGCAAGGAGAAGTTCATTATGAATCTGGGCCCCCAGCTCTGGGTTGGAGAAGTGACACATCGGGAAAATAACAAAACCGTGTCAAGGAAGAGCTTGATGACAAGACCCTTGTCATTTCTGGCTTCTCTGCTGCTGCGGGCCTGCCCCTTTCGCAGCCAGCCTCACTCCGCCTAGCCCCTGGTAATCAGGCCCTTCGAGTCCAAGAAGCTTCCCTCCTGAGCCCCTCCCACCCCGCCTGCCCACAGCTGCCCTCCCCCGGGCCTTCTCCCTGCCCTCCTCGGCTTCCGTCTGTCGTCATCGCTGCCACTGCCGTGGCCCGCTGTCCTTTCCTTGGAGGCTGTGCCTGTCCCGGCCCGGGAGGTCGCTCCGTGGGTGTCTCATGAGTGCCAGGCTGTGCTTCCCGGGCCGGTGCGTCAGCGGGACCTGGTGGCCCAGGGAAACGGGCTCGCCGCCCTTCAGCTGGGCATGGCGGGTGGTTGCCGTCAGAGGCGAGTCCAGCGGGTGCTGCTGGCCCCGCGCCTCCCCGGTGCCTCTCTGCACCTTAGGGAAGGTCGCCCGTCAGCTCACGTGAGCATGATTGGACCCGTCTCCTATCGGAAATAACAGACTCCAAACCCAAACAAGTAGCCCTCAAGTCACTTGTAACGTGTCCTCTCCAGGAATTCAAACATCCCTGAGATCTCTGTGTTAAGAATGGAGGAATATGTGATAGAGACTTCCACAATGAAACACGTTTTGGGCAAGCACGTTTGCGAGAAGAACGAGGACCCGGAAAGTGCGCCAGCCAAGGGGTCCCGTCTGTGCTGCTGTCTGAGCGCCGCGCGCCCTTCCTTCAGGGGAGCAGGTGGCCGTGGGGCATGCTGTGGCTTCATTCCTCATCTTGCCACGTCCTAAAGCCAGAGGGTGTGTCCAGGCCTCGGGACAGCCCTGCCTGGCGCCGACTGTCTAATAACAAACGTGATTTTCTCAATACCAGATCAAGGGCAGTTTTGGGAATAAATCTGTTTCGATCAAAAAGCTGGAAAACTTGCCAAGTTGTGACTCGGGCTTTATTTTCAGAACAGTGTCTTAAAACCTCTTTCTGATTGACTCGTGCTGGAGAGTCCCTTCGACACGCTGCCCCCGGTGGTGGCTTTGTCGACGTCTTCTGGGTGAGACGCTGGAGGCCGCAGGTGGTGATGTCTGCCCCAGAGGTGTCAGTTGGCTGCGGACGGCAGAGCAAACCTGGGAAGAAGAGAGAGTAGCCCAGCTCTGACGTTGAGAACTTTACTGGTTTTTTTCACTGCGATATAGAAAGAACGGGCACTGAGTTGCCTACCGAGCGTCAGGATTGGTGTTGACCCTGCTCTAGTTGCATCCTGAACCCACTTGTTTTGTGAAGTTCTAGATAAATGAACTGGAAGTGCGTCTGCGGGGCGCTGATGGCCCCCTTACTGCAGAGCCACTGTGGCTGGGGCACTTGTGAGGCAGTGCGGACGTGCCCGAGTAAGGATAAGGGGTCAGATGTGCCTTCTTCATGCTCCACACTGGGTCACGTGTCAGTCACATCGCATGTCCTCACTGCCCATGAAGGGGTCCATGACCACTGTCCTCTCTGATGAAGGAGCCTGGGAGGTGGCGCTGAGCTCGAAGGGTGGGAGGACCCGTCAGGCTGGGCAGGGCTGTGGGCCACTCTGAGTTTGGGTAGTATTTTTGCTTTGCAGGCTGTGGGGTCTCTGGCAGCTACTGAACATGGTGGTTGAACGGCGGAAGTTGCCTTACACAACATGGAAATGAATAGATGTGGCCGTGTTCCCAAAGCTTTATTCACAAAGAGCTGGGGGTACTGGCTGTGGGCCTCGGCCCCGGTTTGCTGACCCCGCGGTGGAAAGCCCGAGGTTTACCGTTCGGGGGCCGCATGACCTGAGCAGGAGGTGGCTGGACCCGCTCCCTGCCCCGTCAGTGGGATGAGCATGGTGTTGGTGAAGCTGGAACGAGCCGATGCGGTGACAGGCCCTGCCCCCTTGGATGGGGTGTCCGCTCAGTAGGTGGTGACACTGAATGAGGATCATCACTAAAGCACGTGTGTCTGTAGTTCAGTTTGTTAGCAAAATCAGTATTTTTTGTCCTGTTTCCGGGTCATGGGGTATGAAAATGCCTCAGCTCAGCAGAGTGGCTGGCTTGCCCGCCATCTTCCTGTAGACGGGTCATAGGTGTCGTGTTGCAGGCACCGGCTCTGGTTTCTGGATGGGGGTTGGCCTCGTGGTCCTTTCTTCACGCCCGTTCATGTCAGGAGCCCCGCAGCCCGGGTTCTTGGGCGGCTTCCGGGGGGCCCGAGTTGGAGGGAGCACAGTGAACAGCTGCACCGGGGCCGCGACAGTGCAGGCCCCCAGCAGGCAGAGAACTCCCCCGGGCCGACTTCGTCCTGAGTGTTTCAGTAAGGAGCGCCTCGCTGGCCGAAGCCGGCCGCCCCTTAGACCCCGCACGGGAGGAAGTCTGTGTGGTGATGCTGGTGGGCGCCTAATACTCTGCGTTTGCAACCTGTTCTAGTCAGCTGTCGGCCACGAGTACCAGTCGAAGCTGTCCAAGCACTGCTCGCAGGTCGACTCCGTCCGGGGGTTTGGAGGCAAGTTTGGTGTCCAGGTGGACAGAGTTGACCAGGTGAGTGACGCGTCCAAGGAGCCAGGGCCCGGCGAGGGCACGGGGCCGCTCCCTTGAGATCAGAGCTGGCTGCCATGTTGATGTGCTGCCGGGCTTGTCCTCTTGAGGGAACACGGAGGTGCCCCTGGCTCTGGGACTGCAGGGGCCCCTCCTCCTCCCCAGATGCTCTGAGCTGATTGGCTGGCTGGGTGAGGAAGCGAGAGCGGTAAAAGCGTAAGGGCCTTTTTCACTGTTTGCTGTAGAAATCCCTGTGCTGCTGTCTGCTCATCAGAGGGACTTATATTTGCCCAGGAAGGTGCCGCTGGGGACCATATCCATCTACCCTCCCTTCATGGATGTCACTGTGACGAGTGATGTTCAGAGTAGAATCGTCAGAGCGCCACACACGCCCATTTCCAGGGCTGCGCTGAGTGTCCAGATGCTGTCCGCCGGCTCTGGGCCTCTTCTGATTTCCTGACTCAGGGCTGTCACCCTGTCTTTCATATCACAGCATTGAGGGCCTGGCTTTGTACTTAGACCTCGGTCCACTTTCTGGCTTTGCTGCGCGGCAGCCGTGGTTCCGCGGCTCCTGTCTGTAAGGTGGGGTGGTGGCGGTTCCTGGGGCTGTGCATGCAGTGCACCTGGTGGGGCGTGCCTGATGCCCACTGCGGCGCCCATTCTTGTTACCGATGTTCGTGTTGCTCTTGGCAGAGCCTGTTGGAAAGCTCAGTTTCTCTGTGGCAGGAGGGAGTTGTCCCGAGGTGGCGGTGTGTGCCTAAAATCCTAAGCCAGACTCGCTGGGCGGCTGCCGGCCCCTGGGGAGGACGGGCCACCCACTGGGCCTTGTTGGTCGTTTTATGGCATGGAAGTTCAAACGCCAGAGCTTGGGGTGTTGATTAGACCTGCACTCGGCTTAGGAAATCAGAGCTCAAAAAGAACGTGGTTTGGTTTTAGAGATTTCCCGTGTATTGTGGACTCAGGTTAACTCTCAGAGGCATTTAACAACGCATGTCCCCTTTTGTTGTCACTGCAGTCTGCCGTCGGCTTTGAGTACCAGGGCAAGACCGAGAAACACGCCTCGCAGAAAGGTGAGCTGCAGAAGATGCAGGTGTGGGTGGGAAGGCCTCGGCGGGGAAGGGGCCGGGGCGTTTGAGGCCTCTTCCTGGGGGAGGGGTGTCACCGTGGGGAGACCCTACTCTCTCTCGTGGGTGGCTGTGTCATCTGGGTCCTGTGTGTGTTGTGGTCCCCATCACGCCCCTAGAATCCCTGGCGTCTCGCATCTCTCTGGTGCCCCACACTGCAGCAGAAGCTGCCTTCCCACCATCCTCGCAGTGTCGCCCTGGAGACGCTGGCTCTGACGTTGCTGGCAAAAAGCCAACTTCCCCCAAAGGATAGAAACCGCAGCCGTTGCGTCATCGGTGTTTTCCCCGCGCACGTGCGGTCTTTAACGCAGTGTTGGCGAATCTTTCTTAAGTCGTGCTGGTTTCATAAAGCCCTTTGTTAAAATGAAAGCTGGTCACTTTCCAAAGCATGCGATGTATGCTTTGCAAGTTTGCTTGCTTCTGCCTCCTGTGTGTCGTCAGATGACCCGGGGAGTGAGCGCTCTATCCCGCAGCGCTCCAGGGCCCGTTCTGGCGCATACGCGTTGGAGGGCGGGTCTTCTCTGGAAAGGGTTTGTAGCTGCGTAGCTTTCTCCATTGACTGACCTGTATCTGAGCGGTGAACTTCCGAGGTGGGAACGCAGTTCATGTCTGCCATCGTGAACGAAGTGCCCCTAACAGGTGAAAGGGACAGTGTAGACTGAGTCTGGCGTCACGCGTGGGTGACAGCGGGTGGCTTGTGTGTTTTAGAATGTGTGCTTGATCTCTTGCTGAGTCGCACCGTGAGTCGTTTCTGTTCTGGTTTAACCAAAGTGCAGGGTTAGCTCCTGTCTGCTCCCATGCCCACTGCTGCTTGTCTCCACAGACTACTCCAGCGGCTTCGGTGGCAAGTATGGCGTGCAGGCCGACCGGGTGGACAAGAGCGCCGTGGGCTTCGACTACCAGGGCAAGACGGAGAAGCACGAGTCGCAGAAAGGTCCGCCCGGGCGGCGCCCCGCAGCCCGTCCACCGCGCGGCCTGCCCCCTCGCCGCTGCTTCCCACACGCTTACAGACATGCGCACTGGGGCGTTTCCCCTGTGTACGGCGGGTCACGTTATAGTTACACAATTTTTTGACTCAAAACGGTTTGGCCGTTCTTGTTCCGTTCAGGTCAGTGTAGGGGTCTGTCGCGTTTTTGGTGACTGCTCAGTCCTCCGTGGTGGGAAGATCCCGTAGTCTACGTAACCATTCCTCTGTGGAATGTACAAGTTAGGTTATTTTCAATTTTCGATGTTAAAAGTCGACTGCATGAGTATTCTTATCCCTGTGTCTTATGTACGTAAGTGGTTATTCAAAAGAGTAAATTCCTAGAAATATAATTGGGTCAGAGAACACTGAATTAAAATTTCGATAGATTGCCAGATTGTCCTCAGAAGCCGTGCTGGCTTCCTTTGCTGTGGCGGCCTCGCGGGTCACTTACTGCCGTCACCCAGCGAGGGCTGTAGGTGGAGGGCGTTAGATTCAGTCCCTCCTGCAGAGGCCACGAACGGTTGGTTCTCCTCATTGTTTTGTTTGGCCTGTACATTTAGATTTTTTAAAATGATTGCCAACATATAAAAACTGAGAGCTCACGTATTTAAAAAAATCCCAGGTTTCTTTAAAGAACAAAACCAAAACCCAGCACTGGAAACCCCACTGGCTTGGCGTTTCTGCGAGGAGCTGGCTGTGGGCCAGCCCAGTGTCCCTTTGCCGCAGGCGTCACTTCCGTTACAGCAGGTGGCCTGCGGCACGGGGTCGCTGTCACTGCCTTCTCTCCCTCCCTCCTTGGAGCAGACCTGTGCTCCTCTGCCCCACGCGCACCCAGTTCCTCAGGACCTGCTGCTGGATGCCTTGCAGTCTGCACTGACTTTCTCCCCAAGAGGCCTCTGGGGCAGAGGAAATGCCACTCTGGGAGGTCGGGGGCACAGCCCCAAGTGCCTGGGCAGGCAGGCTCCTCGGCAGCCCCAGGCCTTTGCGGAAGGGGTTTGCTCCGCGCGCTCGTGCGTTGACGTGCCCACGATGGAGTCCTCCTTTAGTGCAGAGAGAACCATTCCACTGGCGGAGCTTTCTGGAGGGCGTGTGTTTCTGGAGGGCGTTCCAGGTTTATCCTGTCTTTGCAGGCACCCCTGCATGCCTCTCCTTGTGCTGGTCCATGAAGCAGAGGGACCCATTAAAAGCCGGCTGCTCGGCTCGTGCTGATCCAGAAGCTTTGTAATAAACTGTTACTCCATGCTGTCTTTTGGAATGAAGGAAAGATGCTACAGTTATAAATCTGCTGTCTTTATAGGACTCTTCCTAGTCCTGTTATTACATATGAGCAAGACTTTTAGATATTTTCTGTATCAGTGATCTTATAGTGAGCCTAAAAGATTTTTGGTTTATATTTTTTTTAATTGAGTGTTAAAAGTACTTTCTTGAAGCCTGCTGGAATCCACAGCTTGCTCGCTGGTTGTGTTGCTGGCCTGTAAACTGCTTTCCTTGTTTTTAGATTACTCCGAAGGCTTCGGTGGCAAGTACGGTATCGACAAGGACAAGGTGGATAAAAGTGCCGTCGGCTTTGAGTATCAAGGCAAAACGGAGAAGCACGAGTCCCAGACAGGTGCCTGCATCTTACCAGCTCTCCAGCCGGTGACCGTTAACGGGACGGGTGGTAACCAGAGCAGCAGGCAGAGACGGAGCGTAACCAGCAGCCCTTAATACGGACATCTCTCAGTTAAGCAGCCAGCTTTAAAACAGCAAAGCAGAAACACAGCTGTTACATGAGAGATCGACTCTTGCCAGTTTTTTTGGCTCTGACACCCCAGCAGTGCCGCTTGTGCTAATAGTGTCGCGTGTGTAAGTGGTGGGACTGTGGGGCTCCGGTTGCTGCTTAAGCTGCATCGCTTGGCGCTGCTTCTGTGGGGTCCCGTCTGCGTTTATTCGGAACGCTGGGATTACAGATGGGGTCAGTTTCCAGACGCTGTATGAGGAGGGCCTCTTGATGAGTGTTACCTAAAGTTTTACCGAAGATCTGAGAGAGAAGGGATGAATTGAGCGAATTGTGTGTATTGACGTGCATTGAAAAACATGTTTTCTCTCTGTTGCCCGGGCTATCCGTTAATACCAGTTTGTGTCCTTTTTCTAATCCATTAGACTACGTGAAAGGGTTTGGAGGAAAATTTGGTGTGCAGACAGACAGACAAGACAAATGTGCTCTTGGCCGGGATCACCAGGAGAAATTGCAGCTGCACGAATCCCAAAAAGGTACCTTCATTTTGAATCTCCTACTTGGGATCGTTTCCCGAGTTTATTTCCCTTCCCAGGTCCGTCACTGTGCCGTGTTTTTGCCGTGTCTCTGTAGCAGTGGTGTTGTGTCTTCAGTGTGGGAGGTTGTCGTAGCCCTCCCGTGATTTGAGACAGCCCTTCAGCTAGAGGAGTGAGGAACCCCCGTCCCCTCCCACGGGAGGGCTCCCGCGAGAAGGCCCCATGTCACTGGGCTTCTGGAGCGCCGGTCACTGCCTGCAGCAGCTCTGGGAACGCTGTTTTCTGCCCTCAGCGGGCGGCCAGAGGGCCGACAGCGATCCAGTCCATGAATTGGTGCTGATAAAGCGTGCTGTAGGCTGTGGAAGGGGATGCCTCCTCTCTGCCCGGGAGTGTGTGCTTTCCACGACAGAACCATGTCCCTGGGAAAGTAGCACGTGGGGACGGGAGACCTCTGAGTGAGCCCCAGACTCACCCCGTCCTTTCAGCCAGCACAGATGGAGGTGGGGCTGGTACGCGTTGCCGTGCAGTAACCTCGTGTATAACGTGTCTCTTTCTTCACATGCGCAGAGATGCGTTCTCTTGTCTGCAGCGTGGGTAGGACCTAGAAAGAAACCTCAAAGCATGGAGTGGCTTTCCCGAATTACTTGAAATACAGTTCCTAACCCGGTCTGATCTTGGCTGGAGTGTTAAGAGTTTGAGTTTGCCCTCTAACCTTTGAGCCCAGTTTTGACTGTTGCTGAGCCTGCGAGCTGGCTCTGCAGCCCCTGAGCCTGGCAGAGCTTTTCCTTTCTCTAAACGATGTACTTGATTCTTGCCCATGCTCCCACGATTCTAACCGAACTGTGTTTCCTCTCTCGGTTTTCTTCACTGTTGCTTGTGGATTTCCAGGTTATAAGACTGGTTTCGGAGGCAGATTTGGTGTTCAGTCCGAGAGGCAGGACTCCTGTGCTGTGGGGTTTGATTACAAGGAGAGGCTGGCCAAGCACGAGTCCCAGCAAGGCACCGTTGCTCACCACCCCCCACCCCCGCCTCCCCTCCAGTGCGGCCACTTCTAGCACAGACTTCCAGCCTCAGCCTTGCCAGCACCCTCTGTGCCCTCGAGGGGCACTCGGGCGTTGAAACCCAGGTGTATGCTGGAGCCATGGTCGCCTGCACTCCTCCCACCCCCATTCACTTGTTCCCTGGCACCATGGGGTTTGTGCTTGGCAAGACATGGCCGTAGTTTGCAGGGTGTGTTGCCCTAAACCCATAACGTGGCTCCATCCTGGAGCGGGGTGTCCCTGGTCTCCCAGCAGCCTTCTGCTGGAGCTCTTGCTGTTGACCGTGACTTACCTACTGAGTAAGCCACCTGACTGCCTCTGAGACGGGGAGAACCATGTTTAGTTCAGCCAGAGGCGCGGGTCACCGAGGGGCAGGGGCAGCCGTGTTCTGTGTGGTCTCTGTTTCATCGTGGTGGTGTTTTTTTGACCAGGGGTGGGAGGTGTTTTTCGTTTGTTTTGGTTTTTTTGACGACACCACCTACGTATAACTTCCCCACACAGAGCTAAACGGTATGTACAGGAAGCTAAGAAGACACAGGAAATTTCTAGGTGTATCTGTTGGGAGTCCACACGGTGAACACATTTCTCCTTAGAGCAGTTATTTAATTGCTGTCCAAATTCGGACTTGGCCGTTAGAACCTGGACACACGAGCGGAAGACAAGGACGGTCCTCCTTGCCAGGGCAGAGCGTAGGCTCCGTCCCCTGGTTGGGAACACACGGCCGTGTTCAGGCGAGGGACGGCGGACGCAGCTGATCCGGTGCTGATCCGGCAGCCTGCGCGGAGACGGCCTTGGCTCTGCGTGGCCTTAAGGCCGTGTGACGGTGTGACTGTCACGGAGATCTGTGTTGCTACGTCCTAAGAGTTGGCTGGTAGAATTTCCCCATGGAATTTTTTTTTTTCTTTTAAAAAGCAAGAAAACAGCTGCCTCGAGCCTCTGCCTAGTCCTAGTAGGGAGGGAGCGGTGCCAGGTGGAGGACTGTGCTGTTGGAGTGGCACGCTGCCCCGCGCCTGTGCTGGGCCCTCGGCTCACTGCCTGCCAGCCCACACGGCACCCTCTGTCCCTCAGGAGAGCACGGGACGCATGCGCACACCCCTTTTCTGCTTCTCCCCCGCCTGTGTGCTGAACACCACGGGTAGAAACCAACTCAGCTTGCAAGTGAGGACCGCGCGGGGTGCGGTTCTGGTCTCTTTCTGCTCGGGGTGCGTCTTCTTGGGCTGTTTCTGGATCTGTTTGCATGCCTCTGCCCCGGGCACCTCGCTGGTCCTCAGCCTAAGTGTAAGTGTTGTGTTGTGCCACTTTGCAGACTATTCCAAAGGATTCGGCGGAAAGTACGGGGTCCAGAAGGACCGGATGGACAAGGTAAGGATTCCAGATCCAGGCCTGAGTGTCTTCTGCTGCCGTGTTCGGGAATTTAGGAGGTCCGGGAATTCGTGGAGCTCTTGGTGTGTCAGCGCACGGCTCCGTGGATGGTCTGGGGTGGGGTGTGGCTCAGGTTTTCAGAAGCACGAACGTTTAAGTCGGGCACGTGTCATCACTGATGGTGCCGATTGCTGACCTGTATGCCAGGCCTCGTCTACCGGTCACGGACATCCTCTCCGGTACCCCACATGGTCGTGCTGTGGGGGAGAGACTGTCCCTGTCCCCTTTTGCATTTGGGGGTCCCTGGCCAGGCAGGCTCAGTGCTTGGCCACAGCATAGCAGCAAGTGGCGGGGCCACCTTTGGAAGCCAGGCATTAGGCTCTGGGGCCAACACGAGACCCTTGAGGACGTGTGGCTGTTTGAATCCAAAGTAGTTAGCGGTAAACCGGCTGGAAATTGAGCTCCTTGGTCACACTGCCCATGTCAGGAGCTCAGTAGGCACGCGTGGCGGTGGCGGCTCTGGGAGCGCGCGGGTCTAGAACATCTGTATCATGGTTCATGGTGGAAGGTCCACGGGACAGGGACCGTCTAGAGGCAGGTCCTGCCCACAGCACCGCCTCCCACGGGTGTCCCGGGGAACACGCTTGTTTCTCACTGGGGACTTTGTCACACGGTGTCGGATCTCTGAGAGTCAGTCTTAAGTGTATCAGACGGCCGTTTTTCTAGCGTACGGTCCAGCCATAGCAGAGTCTACACTTAGAGCAGGTGTGGAGTTGTCCACACGAGGACACGTGTGGCTTGTATCTCCTGAGCAAAGACGGAGGCCGTCCTGCCTGGTCCTGTGCCCGGCCTGTGGTCAAGGAGAGCAGGGCCAGTCCTCACGGAGTTCTGCTGCTGTCAGGCTCACAGCTGACCACACAGAGGCCGTCACCCAGGGGCTCCACCACGTGACCACGCATGGGCCCTGGGAGCATGTGGCAGGCCCAGGGCTCAGGCTGAGGGGCCAGAAGGGTCCTGGGGAAGTGAGAGGCTGGGCTCAGCTTTGACGGGTGGAGCATGCCGGGAAGATGGGCCAGGAGCCTGGAGAGCAGGGGCATAGCGTGCGGGGGTGGGGGTGACGCCGCAAAGACTGTTAGGGTCTCACTGCAGAGGAGGGCCGAGGGGTGAGGAGCTGGGAGGGACCATCTCGGGGAGCCCTGCAGACTACGTACGTCAGGTTTCGTTCTTCATCAGATGAGTCCTGAGTGGCCCTCGAAGGGTTTGGCAGGCAAGTGACACAAACGGGATCTGTGTTGAGAAGACCCTGGTCACAGTGTGGAAGTGGATTGCGGAGAAGCAGCGAGGCTGTGGCCCTAGTTAGGAGGTGGCTTCAGCGGTGTGAGCAGGGTGCGGTGCTGGCTCGGGCAGGGGCTCGTGGCAGAGGGAGAGCGGCACTGACCTCAGCGAGGCGGGAGGTAAAGCCCCCGGCTTTAAGGGCTGGCAGGGGCAGGCAGGACTGCCCCAGGTGGGCGGTGGGCCTCTGCTGAGCTGGGGCGCCTGGGAGGAGCAGGGGTGGGTAGCTGAGTCGGCTGTGGGTGTGTCCGGGGTGGGCTACCCAGCAGGGCAGGTGGACGAGAGTGCGGCTGGACCAGAGGCAGACGGCCACTGCACAGATGTGGACGGAGCCGGGGCCAAGTCGGAGGCCAGGAGAGCCTGCAGAGTGGTGAGCGGGCCCAGGGACACACCTGGGGGGCAGCAGTCAGGCTGGTAGAGGAGACTGGGAAGTGCACCCAGCAAGGTGGGGGGAGCCCACAGGGTCTGGTGGTGCTGGTCTGAGGGTAAACAGCTTTGGGGCAGGGGGGTCACCTGTGCCCAGCAGTGCTGCTGGTGGGGGTCACGTCTGGGCGAGCAACGTGGTGGCCCCGGGAGTCCTGGTGAGGGCATTGTTGTGGGTGTTGGGGGGCAGGTTGGGGGAAGCTGGCCTGCGGGGACCCGCACCGTGTGGGGAGGGTCAGTCGTAGAGTCGGCAAGCTTGGGCCCGCTCCGCCCACTGTGGTCCTGTGAGCTGGGCAGCGGTCAGCCGAGGGGATGGTTCTGTTTAAGATGGAAGAGACCAGAACGTGTAGGGGAGCCCAGGCCGTAGACAGGCATGTGGAGGGAGACCGTGATGTGGTGCTGGTGGAGAATGTGGGGTCACTGAGACGCAGCCGTGGACGGGAGAGGCTGACGAGGGGGCCTGCGACCGAGCCAGGGTGGTGGCTTGGCGCAGAGGTTGGGTGAGCCTGTGTGTGACGGTGACTATGGTTCCTGTTGGTGGTGTGACGGCGTCCGTGTTGTCCGGTTGGAGGCCTGAGGCTTAGGAAGGTGAGGGAGCTGCGCGGGGTCCCAGGGACTTGCGTGTGGAGGGATTCGGGTCTGAAGTCCCTATAGGGGATGGAAACGGGTTGAGGGGTGCCCAGCAGGTGGGACCTGGGAGAGGTCGTGACCTTGAGTTGCCAGGCTGGACCGAGGGGAGGGAGGAGCAGGCGCCACGTAGAGGAGGGCGGTGAGAGGGAGAAGCTTCTAGTCGGCAAGCGGGTCTTGGTGATGGGGGCGTGCTGTGGAGGAGGTGGGGCGCGGTGTGGTGGGGACGCTGCAAGCGAGAACGAGAGGTTGGGGGCCATGTTTGCTGGAAGCCCCCAGGTGACGGCAGAGAGCTGGCTCTGGGCAGCGTGCTGGAGAACTGGCTGGGCTGGGCAGATGGGGGCGACAGGAGGGGCCCATGGGGAGGGTGCTGACGCCCCTACCCCTGAAGCCACAGGGCAGGCAGGAGCCTGATGGGACATCCGGGGGTGGGGGGCAGGGCAGGGAGTGAGTGTGAGAAGAGATTGTTCTGGAGAGAGGTGGCAGAGGCCCGGTCTGGTGGGCGGGTGGTCTGGGAAGGGAGAGCGCTTGGTCAGGGCAGCTGAGCGGTCGCACTCGGAGAGGGGGGCAGGGGGGCCAGGGTGGCCCGGGTGCCGGGCTCTCAGGCTGGCTGTGGCTGGGCATGGCAGACGGGTGGGTGGACAGCCGTGCTCTGGCCGAGCGGGGTGGCTGTGGAGGGAGAACGGGGCTCTGGGGGAGGGTGGGGGCCTGGCCCGTGTGTGCGACACTCAGCACAGGGGTCAGCCTGTGCCTGGACGGGAGGGAGCTGCCACTCACAGTCACCCTCAGACAGTGCCCGCTAACTTCAGGTCCACGTCCTCGGGACCCTGCTCCCCTGATTTGTGTCAGGAAGGCAGTGACTGTCCCACGCCCCAGGTGTGTCACTGGGAAGTGGTTGCTCACGAAGAAACTGAGGATGGCCCGTGGTTCCCAGAGCCTGTCTGCATCAGTGTCTGCGTCAGCATCAGCCTTGAAGGAGCAGCTGTCGCTCAAAGTGTCGTCTGACAGAATTGGGCCCCCGTACTCACGCTTGTGGGGGATGTGGACGGTCAGGCCAGGCGAGGCTTGCGGCACTGTGTCCCCTCCCGGGGCGAGGGCTAGTGCAGAACCCGCACCTGGTTTCTGATTGCGCAGGTGTAGATATGCTTCTGGGTTTTTTCCTGCTCTTTTTTTTTGGAGCAGTTTTAGCAAATTTGAGAGGATGGTACAGAGATTTCCCATATGCCCCCCGCCCCCACGACGCACAGCCTCCGCCACCATCAGCATCCTCCGCCAGCTGGGACGTTGGGTACAGTCCGCGAGCCTACGCTGACAGGTCGTCGTCACCAGAGTCCACGGTTGACTTTAGCGTCCACTCTTGGTGCTGGACGTTCTGTGGCTTTGCACACGTGCGTAAGGACATGTGTCCCCCTTGTACTGCCATACAGAGTATTTTCACTGCCCTAGAAATTCTCTGTGCTCCGCCGGTCCATCCCTCCTCACGCGTGTACTTTTTCTTCTCACGCTGACCCGTGTCGTCACCAGCAAGTGTGTGTTGTAACCTTTTCATGCCTCAGTTAACTTGCAGAACAGAAAAGGAGATACGAAAGCTTTGGACTCCCTGGTTGGTTCTTTCACAAGGTTGAGGGCAGGCTTTGCCATCTGGGTGAGGTGGCAGCCGTCACGGGGTGTGAGGAGCAGAGAACAGTGCCTTCCTGATGTTCCTTTCCTGTCTCGGTAGAATGCTTCAACCTTTGAGGATGTCGCCAAGGTGGCCTCCACGTATCAGAAGACCGTCCCTGTCGAAGCAGGTGAGTCCTGGCGGACCCCCTACCGGCACTTTGGCTTTTCCAGGAGGAAATTCCATGCTCTTTGGTTGTCCCAGGAAAATGCTCAGGGCAAAGGGTAGTTGGGGGGCTGGCCCAGTAGCACAGCGGTTGAGTTCGCATGTTCTGCTTCGGCAGCCCGGGGTTTGCTGGTTCGGATCCCGGGTGCAGACATGGCACCACTTGGCAAGCCATGCTGTGGCAGGCGTCCCACATATAAAGTAGAGGAAGATGGGCATGGATTTGAGCTCAGGGCCAGTCTTCCTCAGCAAAACGAGGAGGATTGGTGGCCGATGTTAGCTCAGGACTAATCTTCCTCAAAAAAAAGGGTAGTTGGCAGAATGTGCACCGGGAGCACATGGAGCATGAGTGGAGAGATGGAGCTGAACGGGGTGATGGAGCTGAATGGGGAGCAGAGTCGTTCCTGTGTATTTTCAGGAAACAAATTGACTTCCCTTTTGAGGGAAGATCCTCTTTGTTCCTGCAGAGGGTCAGAGGCAGCTTTCCCACACTGCGTGTTGTGCTCTCCGGCCGTGGGGATCTGCTTTGGTGGGTGCCTCCCAAAGTAGAGCTGGGTTAACTGCACGTGTGCGAGGGCCCTTCTCGCTGCTGGAACCGCGTTCTGGGAGGGTCCTGTGGCACCTGCTGCTCAGACACGCTCGCTGGTGCCCCTGGACGCGGTCGGCCCTGATGTGACCCGAGGGATGTGTTGTAGCGCCTGTGCACGAGCTGGAGTAGGCGCTCTCTCCTTCGCTCCTTCTCCTCCTTGGGCCTGGTCCAGGCTGCCGCAGTCTGTCCTTTCAGGTGACTGCTCATGTGAGGGCCTCTTCTAGTCCAGCTGTCTGCAGGGCACACGTTCGGTCATGTGGGCCACGCACTTAAGGAGAGCATTGTTTAGTCAGGAAAATATACGTGCTAGAAGGGAGTGCGTTACAAATAGGACGCAGAGAGTCACCGTCGGTTCACTGTGGACGCCCTGGGCCTGCAGTTCTCGGACTTGGTGCTCCAAGCAGACTTTGACCTCGTAGGAGTTATCGAGGGCCCCAAAGAACTATGTGGGTTACGTCTACTGATCTTTACTTATTGGAAACTAAAACAGAGAAGTTAACATTTTATAATTCATTTAAAAATAATAAAGCCATTACATATCAGCATAATACTTTTATGAAAAAAATAACATTTTCAAAACTAAAATGCAGAAGGGTGGTGTTTTGTTTCTGTCAGTCCCTGTGGTATAAGACAGCCGACTTCTCCCAGCTGCTTCTGTGTTGTGCTAAGTCCTGTTGATGGAGAAAGTCTGGGCTCGCCCAGATCTGCAGCGGAGAGGGAAGGCCGTGTGAGGTCGTCGTGGATGCTCTTTGATGTGACACTCAGAACAGGCTGTGGTTTAGTGGTTTTCTTGAGGCTTGTTCTTCCTTGCACACCATGATTTTGTAACATGATGCATCAGTCGTTGGAAAATATTGGATCACTGAGTTACAGAGACCCCCGAAATGTTGCTGTGTCGTTCTGTAATACCGAAAAAAATCGTGTTTGTGAATACTGTCATCAGTGCTAGCACAAAGTCTTTAAGTAAAACTGGGAAATTGTCATGTGCACGGGAGCAGATACAGGTTTTCCAAAATTCTGATTTTGCTTGAAAGCTTATGTTTTCCCATTGACAACAAATGGTGCGGTTGTTGTTGACGCGATAGGCTTGGTTCGTTTATTTTGGAGGAAATGCGTGCTGAGTACCCAGTGTGCTTAACTACAGCCAATCAGTTATTTCAGGGACAAATCATGCTCCGTGAGAAGTCAGTTCAACCTGCGACGCAGACAGTCGCACAAGTGTCCTTCCTCGAGACAGCCGCTGAGCTTGGTGTGTGGCAGTGGTGCTGTCTGTGTCCCTCCTGTTTGTCGCACAGAATATTAAAGACGTATGCTCAAGGGTTGAGATTTACTAAAAATTAGTATTTTTTACTGCTTCATCAAGGGCGTCCTGAGGGAAAATTGGCTACTCCCCCCGCCGAGTATATGGTGGTAAAGAATACAATGATGTTTGGAATTTAAACTATTCCATGGCTTATGATGTTCATTGGTCCTGCCGAAAGTGTGCAATGGGCAGAAGGCACTGAGGCCAGTTCATGGGGGGCGGGCTGAGCTGGCGGCTGGGGGACATTTCCCTTCCATGTCGGGCGGGACCGATGGGTCCCCCCGGGAGAGGTCACGCTGGCACGGGGCTGTGGTCTGGGGAGATAGTAGTTGTGTTCTGACATCACACATAAATCTCTGCTTCCCTCTGCAGTGAACAGTAAAACAAGCAACATCAGAGCTAACTTCGAAAACCTCGCGAAGGAGAAAGAGCAGGAGGACAGGCGGAAGGCGGAAGCGGAGAGGGCGCAGAGGATGGCGAAGGAAAGGCAGGAGCAGGAGGAGGCCCGGAGACAGCTGGACGTGAGTGAGGACCGGCCGCCTCGCTCTCCTGCGCAGCGCGAGGGGACTGGGAACTCTTGGGCCCGTGGGTTTGGTTTACTCCTTCCTCGGTGGTCCAGGAGGTTTTCAATAGAGAACATGTGGAACTCCCGTTGGGCTGTCCTCTGAGGGACTTTAGCTTTCAGCTGCCCGTAGAATCAAGTCTTTTGACCGCCAGATTCTAGACAGTCGCCCTTGCTGGCTCAGAGCCCGGTAACCCTCGAGCCTGGCCTCCCTCTGTCCTGCTGTCAGCCCGCGTGCCCTCCGCTGAGCTCCAGTCCAGATGGTCTCCTAGCGTCTCTGTTCCCACCCGTCACACTCTGGGACGCGCCCTTCCCGGGTAGGAACTTGAGAATACAGAGGAATCCCCTGTGAGGAAGCGGATCTGCTCCTGCAGCTCTTGCTTCTGCAGCCTGGGTCTGCTGCCCTTTCCTGTGAGTGTTTGTAGTGTTTCCCACCAGAGAAGGTAGGAGCGGGAGCCTGGGAGGTGAGCCGGAGGGGTGGGCTCCTCCTTCCTCAACCTGTCCTAGGGGGGCTGGTGTCTGAAGGCTCAGGTCCCTACGTTCTCGCCTACCAACTGGGCGACCCGTGACAGATGAGCTCGCTGTTCTGTGCCTCATGTTCTGGTCCATGAAATGGGGGTGGAGACACTCATCATGACTCTTTTTGGGGTAGTGACGAGGTAGAGTCTGAAGTCATGCATGCAACATTGATAAACCGTAAAGGTGTGTTTAACTCTGTGGACGTTCTGCCCGAAATCATGGGGGGGAATGTTGAGAACGTGGATAATCGAGGAAATTAACATGCAATAGACAGAAAATGCCGACGCGGAGGACGTGAGTTAAATAAGCCCTGCTGTCTTACCACGTGCGGCGAAGTCGGAATAAGAGCAAGTTTTACGGTTACCATTTACTATTCCTTAATTGCTGGAAAACTTTTAGACATGTCTCCTTCAAGTTTTTAGTAAGCTGCTTGTAAGTTAGCTTTCTTTCATTGCAGAACACACGCTCACAGACTACAAGGCATTTTTTCCTGCTATCTTGGTCTTCTTTTCAAATAGTGCCCTCCTCATTTTTTGCCTTAGAAGTTTGACCCCTGCCATCTAAGTCGCCTCAGCATCCACAAGATGCAGAAGGGATGGGCTGCTTGAGAAGAAGAAAACTTTTGATCATCGTCACCTAACCTCTCTCCTTTTGAGGTTCTCCTGCTGTCCCTTCGGGTGTGTTGTCCTTCTCTGTCCCCAGCCCCTGCCACCCGTCTGCTCTCTTCCTCCTCCCCAGTGAGAGCGAGTCTCCGTCGGCACAGTACTGCTCCCAGCAGAACCCCCTGGGCTGTGGAAGGGCGCTGGAGCACTCGGCTCCCCGACAGCACATGTCTTCTGAGTGCTCCCTCCTGGCAGGCGAGGAGAGTTTGACTTGGGTCACGTACGCCTGACTCTCAGATCCTGGAAGCCCGCCTCTGGGAAGGAGTCTGCCTATACCCTGCCACCTTTGAGAGGGGCTGTCCTAGAGCCCGTGGCCTGGAGACATGTTTCTAGAAGTGATTCATAGACGAATCCGTGGCCCTGTGCCTCTGCAGTTCCCGGTCTCTCTGCAAGCCCACCCTCAGCCCGGCCGCCCAGCCCAGGCACAGCCCCTTCGAGGAGGCGCTCTCCTGCCTCAAGTACTCGTGGGTGGGTCCGAGTGACGTGTGGCGCTGGGACTCTCCTGTGGGGTGGGGAGGAGAGGGCTCAGATTCCGCTTCTGCCCCTCGCCGGCATGCGTCCCTGGGTGTGTGACTTACCCTCTCCGGGAGCTCAGTCTCCTCGTCTGAAACCTGGAGAAAAATCCAGCCTTCCAGCTGGCAGAACTCGTTCCTGTAGCTGCTGGATCAAATGACCACAAGTTTAGTGGCTTAAAACAACACTCATTTCCTGTCTATAGTGCTGGAGGGCAGAAGTCCTAACAGGTCAGCAGGGCTGCGTCCGTTCTGGAGGCTGGAGAGGACGACGTTCCCTGGCCTTCTCCAGTTTCTGGAGCCGTCCGCGTTCCACCCTCTGCTTTCATCACCACATCTGCTCTCTCTCTCACATGGCTGTCTCCCTCTTGTAAGACCCTGTGATGACATGGGCCAACCCAGATAATCCCGGATTGTCTCCCATCTCAGATGCCTAACTTCGTCGCATCTGCGGTCCCTTCTGCCCTGTGAGGTCACATGTTCACAGCATCTGGGGCCTGGGATGTCAGCTTGTTTGGGGGCCGTATTCTGTCCATGACAGTCCTCGCTCTGAGCCCCAAAGATTCATGTCCGTACTACGTGCAGAATACATTCTCCCCATTTTAAAAGTCTGAGTTCATCACAGCGTCAGCTCAGAGACCCAGATCTCATCGTCTGAATTGGGTTTGGGTGGGACGGGGGTTGTAGCTCGGTAGTGGTACTGTTGCCTTGCCGACTGCACAGTGAGTAAATCCTGTGGCTTATGTGGTGGCAGCAGGAGTATTACGGGCCACCGAGGTCCTAGTTCTTGAGAATACTTGACTGACTGCGTGACCTTCGCTCAGAGCAAAGTTCCCTTAAGACCTGCTGGTGTTCAGTCTCCGAGCTTGGTACTCTCTGCTCTTTCTGCTGGAGCCGTGTTGCCGCGGAGGCGGCCTGGTGACCCAGAGAGTCCTGGGCGTGTTCTGAGTGCTGCGTGTCTGTCGATCGCAGGAGCAGGCCAGAGCCCGGAAGCAGACCCCGCCCGCGTCTCCCGCTCCTCAGCCGGTGCAGGAGAGGCCGCCTTCAAGCCCCGTCTATGAGGTGGGTCTTCCGTTGTTTGTAAGTGAGTCTCTGGCTCCTTGCAGCCATCCCTCCTGGGGAAGTGCCGCCACCGCGGACGGCGTGGGCTCCCTCCTCAGCTCTGCTAGGTGCCCATCCACAGAGGGCGGCCTGGCGAGCAGCCTCCTGGTGCTGGGGCACGCTCCCGGGCACACGGCCTGCTTCTCACCTTCTCGGCCGTCCTCACTGGGCTCCTGGACGAGGCCCCCTTCCTCACGCAGCCCGCAGCCCCCGAGTGGGGTCTCCGGACACCGAGTGGATGGCTTCTGGTCCGGAGCTCACGTGGTCATGCTGCGTTTGCGCTGGCGCCCCGCTCTTCTAGAATCCGCATCCTGCGGCACCCAGCTGCCGCTCCCGCGTGGCCTCGCTTCACTGGAGCCCTCTCCACCTCTCCCCTCCCCTCAGCCCCTCTTGAACGTGTCTGCTCCAGAGCCTCTGTCCTTGGCCCTTTCTTCTCAGTTGTGTCGTCAGTGCCTTGTGCCTGCCTGTGTCCCCAGGGCCTGCTAACACGGATCCGCATGCTCTCTCCTGATCTGAGTTACTGAGCTGCCTGCCTCAGCTCTCCTTCGCTCCGTCACGGGGTCTCCACATCTCCCTCTCTCGGGAGCACCCCTGCCACCACCGTCCATGACCATACCTGGCTGAGCCCCGAATTCCATCCCTTCTCTGGCCCTGTGGCCACTGTCCTGGTTCCCACACCTGTCTTCTCTTCCTGGACATTAGCCCTCAAAGATCATTGAGTCGCAGGGGATGAAAACTAACTCATCTCAGCTGAGGCATAAAGGGACGAGGATGCGGGGAGAGCTGTGGGCCGGGGCAGCAGGCCTGGCCTCGGGTCCACAGTCTCGTCACCACCAGGGTCATCTCCTTGTTTTGCTGTTCCCTCTGTGTGGCGGCCGTGTCCTTCTGGACTCCTGGGCAGGTGTGTTGGATGTAGCCTTATAATTCGTAATCCAATGGAAAACGGGGCCTTGAGCCACCCCCCCTCATCATGTTCCACTACTGGCCCGTCACTGAGCAGTTGGTTCTTGAGAAGGCCAAGATGGCATGCTGTCCCTGGCAGGGATGGGAGGTGTGTCCTAGATCAGCAGCCCTGCTGGAACCCTGTGCTGGGTGGGGCAGAGGTGGCGTTGCTGGAAGATAGGAGAATAGGGTGCTGCCAGTGTGGGATGCCCGCCGTAGTGCCCACCTGCTCACGGTGCCCCCGCATCACTAAGCTGAGGGTGCGGGCAGCCAGCTCGTGCCCCCACACCATGGCCTGGCCTTTAATCCTCCAGTCCATTCCCTTCGAATCCAAGGGGACCTTGCCAAAAGGAGCCTCTGGCTCTGTCCCTCCCTCTTTAACCCTTGAGTGACTCCTGGTACCTGGCCTGGAGGTGGAGTGCCCTCTCTGTGGCCTTCATAGCACCTCTCCCAGGCAGCATGCACTGTGCTGCTCACCCTCCATCGAGAGCTGGTGCCTGAGCGCCGGCCCTTCCTGGAGCTTCTCCCCATGCCCCGCCGCCTCTGGCTCCCGAGGGCGCCTTCAGGAGGACCCTCGTTGGAAACACTGGTGAAAGCCACCGTTGATGATCAGGAGTTCAGGACTTGGGTTCGAGCTTGGAAGTCCCGGTGCTTGTGACCAGGGAGTTGGTGATTTCCTCCTGCACGTGACCTGGTGCTCCCTCCCGCCCGCCCCTCCGCCAGAGGACTTGGTTAGGACAGAACCCGGCCGTCCGCGGCCTTGCCAGCTCTGGCCGTGTGATGGGGTGACATTGTGAAGCTGCTGGGTGGCCGTCGGAGGGCTGGGACCTGAAAAAGAAACAGGCCAGACCTGCCCCAGGCGACAGCCTGAGAAGCGCTCAGCTCGTGACAGCCGTGCGGGTTCCAGTTCCTGCAGGATTTGCGGGCGCTGGGGGGCGGTGAGGATGGGGGTTATTCAGGAAGAAGTGCCACGTGGTCCCTCTGAACACACTTAGCACGGTTAGAATCGAAGCCGTCTGCGCACGTCGGCAGGTGTTGCCTCCTCTTCTCCGTGTCCATTTGCTCGGTCTCAGCTGGACCGAGAAGTGGTCCGTGTGTTTCCCTTGGCCGTGGCAGCGACCCGCCCGGCCCATGTGAACTGTCTCCCTGGCTCTTCCCCAGGATGCGGCTTCGTTCAAGGCCGAGCCGAGCTACAGAGGCCCCGTGAGCGAGCCGGGACCCGTGTACAGCACCGAGGCCGCCGACTACCAGGACGCCGATAGCCAGCAGGGTCTGGCCTACGCCCCAGAGGCCGTCTATGAAAGCACGGAGGCCCAGGGCCACTATCCTGCAGGTGCGGGGGGGCCCCTGTGGTGTTCCCCGGGCAGAGGGGGCCCCTGTTAAGTTGCCCTGTGAAAGTCGCCTTCTCCGATGACTGACCTGCCCCCCGCTGCCCTCCACTGTGCCTCCAGGGTCTTCGTCTCCCCTGGGACAGGCTCTAGACCCCAGGGGGTTGGCACAGCCTCCCGTGGGGGTTCCCGGAAGATCCCTGCTTGTGTGGGGATCTGGGAATTTTATAGATACTGCACTTGAACGAACAGTAAAATCAGTCTCTTATTTTTAAAGACGAGGTTTCCTTTAATCTATTTGAGCAGATTGAACACAATTCCCTGCTCCCAGCTGGAGTCACGTGAGCAGCAGTATGAGAGAGTGTCCCCACGTGAAGCTCCCCTTCTCCCCAGGGTGCCGTGGGGCGTCTGGGAGCCCTGTCTCCTGCTGGCCGTTGGCTTGTGATATGTGCTCTCCTGAAGTTAAAGTTTACAGGTTTAAAAATTATCCTTTGAAAACTGTCACTATCCCCAACCAGTTAGAGTTGGGACGGGGTGGATTTGCCCCTTAGAAGCTGGAGTCCTTTTCTTGACGGAGGGGGAGACGTCCCACAGTTTGTCTTCCCGAGTAGCCCTCAGCGCCCCAGCCTTGGAGGGGCTGTCGGACCGAAAAGGAACACGGCCAAGTACGTTTACGGGACGTGGGTTATCGCTCAGATCTCGTCTTGGTTTATTGCAGAGGAAGGCACCTATGACGAGTATGAGAACGATCTTGGGATCACAGCCATCGCCCTCTACGACTACCAGGCTGGTGAGAGGCGCAGCGTGCTGCAGACGGGGGACGGGGGGCAGTGGACACGTTGTGCTTCAGGAGCGTTGTCCAGGACTCCTCTCTTAAAGATCTGACTTTTAGAGTGTTATTATGGTTTTTAAAAGTAATTTGTTTTGAAATGATTTCAAAGTTACAGAAAGTTACTCCCATATCTCCCTCATCCAGCTTCCGTCTCTCCTTGTCTACATACATGCGTGCGCACACACACACGCACGCATATCTCTACACACACCCCCGCCATAAGCACAGTCCACCCTCCCAGTGAGAGTCCCCACTGAAACTGCTGACGGGTCACATTGACCAGCCGTCCCCAGAACTCTGGTCCTGTCGGGGCCGGTTCCTTGCGTTTCCCTGTCATTCCTCTCTGTCCCCTCCGATCTGGAGCAGCCCCACAGCCTCCACCTGCCCTTCCAGTTCTCGGCGTCTTTCGTTCTGGGGTGACCTCAGCCCAGCTGAGGCCACAGAAGCGCTGCATGCTCTTGACCCTGCCCCGCATCAGGGCACACAGTCTGTCCCTCTGTCCCGCGCTGTGGTGCTGACCGCCATCAGCAGGCCCATTGGCGCCAGCCACCAGCCAGCCACATTCTCCAGTGCAGTCACCGTTTCTCCCGCTGTGGCTGATGTGTTTGTGGATCCCCCAGGCCCTGTTCACAGTCAGACTTCCAGCTGCAGCCCCGTGGACACCAGCCCCGGTGGAGTGGGGCTGTTTCCATCCTTCCTTCTCATCGTGTTGTGGTGTTGGCGTTCTGCCATGGGAAGAGCTGTCCCTCCTCCCATTTACACGCGTAGACCCCTACGTTTGTTTCCCTGTGTGTGCATTCTGAAACTCCCGTGTCTGTGTCATTTATAAACTGTGTGAGTGTATCTTGGTACCTCCCTTTGCAGCCCGTCACTTCTTCCCGGCTCCCTTTTCATACTGTAGGTCCCTCCCCAGCGCCAGAAGCCTGGCTTTCAGGAGCCTCGAACATTTACTTTCTTGCCCCAACCACTTGGCCACCTCCACACCCCCGGGAATGTGGGGGCAGGCTTCTCCTTCCGTCGCGGGAGGGGAAGTGGGAGAAAGCGAGTGCCCGCCTGGGACCCCCTCCTGAAGGGTCCCAAGTGGTTCGGGCTGCGTCTCGTTTGGAGGGCTCTGCTGCACCCACGTGGCCGCCCGGGTCATGTGTGCAGATGCAGGCCGTCGCTGGGTGATGGAGACAGTGAGGCCTTCGCTCTGGGCCCCAGCGGGAGGCCGCCAGCTCCAGGAGTGGCTGCGTAGGGCGCTGGTTCCTAACGGGCCCTGCCCTGACCAGCAGACCAGGAAATGTCGGATTTCACCGTCGCTGTCTTTGTTCTCTTCCCTAGCGGGCGACGACGAAATCTCCTTCGACCCCGACGACATCATCACCAACATTGAGATGATCGACGACGGCTGGTGGCGCGGGCTGTGCAAGGGCAGGTACGGGCTGTTCCCGGCCAACTACGTGGAGCTGCGGCAGTGAGCGCGGCCGGCTTCTCGCGGCAGACCAGGCCTGCCTCCGGCTGGGTGTGCAGGGTCGGGGAGGAGCCATGTTGCTTTTATATTTAATACTTTTGCTGATGCTTTTGAAATGTTTATGCCACAGAATTTGCTAATATATTGTAGTCATCTTCCTTAGGAGGACTCTGGTAATTGTTTTATGCGTTGAAGGTATTTTCTTTTTTTGCTAAATTGACTGTCATATGGAGCCGCTTCAGGGACCTTGAGTCCTCCTGAGGGCGTGTCGTCCTTGTCCCCGTTGTCAGCAGTCAGGACCCCCCGTGGCAAACGCGGGAGATCCTTCACTCCATCGTCTGCCGCCCGACAGCGGCCCTGTGGGGTCAGGCCGGGTTGCCGTTCTTGTAAGGGAGTCTCCGCGTTGGGAGGAAGAGGGAAGGGCCTGATAGGAAGTTGGAGTCGAGGAAAACGTGAGAAAGTGCAGTAGCTTTAATGTCAGGCGGCGAGGCCTTTCGTACTGTGAAATCCCACGGTGTTTGATGATAGTAGCAAAGACCCCATCTCACTTCTCGTCCCGCCTTGTTTGTCATCTCCCCTAACACCCCAGCCACCTCTCCTCCTGCCCCCGTGGCACAGTGTCACCTGGTCCCTTAAAGTCTGCCCCTCCACTCGTCTCCTGCCGCGGGCCCACCTGAACGGCTCCGGGTCTGCAGGCCTTGCCTCGTGTGCCCTTGGCTGATGTCTGGTCGTCCCTCGAACACGTCTGCAGGCCCCGGGCCGCCGGGCCTGTGTCTTTTGTGCCGGCACAGGGCCCCTTCACTGTGGGAAGGCAGGGGCCTGCTCTGTTGTAAACTGCCAGAAGCATCCTTCCCATCAAGGGAGTCATCCACTTTCTGCCAAAATATCGTGTTAAATGACAGTAAAATTTGACTGATTGACTTGGCTAAAAATACGAAGTGAACAAGAGTGGGTGCCCTGGCCCGAGATGCCCCGGGCGGCTGCTCTCCATGGACGCTGGGCCGGAGTGTGTCTCCCCGAGAGAGTGGGAGGCCCGGTCCGCGCGCGCCACACGGGCGGTGTCTTTCCGGAAGTCGATGGCGTCTCGGGTGTCCGGGACAGTAATGACTGTGAGGATGAGTTTTCTTTCCTGAAGTGCATTTCTGCATAATCCTTCCTTCACCACAATTAGGTCGGGTTTATATGCAATTATTCTATCTAAATTTCTGTACCACCTCATAGGTATGATTTTTTTAATTAAATATCTGAAATAAACTTGTTTTGATCCACTTGCTGCTGATTCGCTTGGTGCTTGGTCACTTTGTTCGATACAGAGGCGGCTCTCCCGCTCTCCCGTCCGCGCCCCGCTGCTCCCTGACCTCGTGGGGCAGCCCCCTCCACGTATCAGCTCTGGACCAACTGGAGCCCCTTGGAAAGAGGCAGGCTCCTGCAAAGGTGTGTTTTAGGAGGTGAAATGTATTTGCTCTCTTGAATTGTCAGTTTTTCGGACAAAGATTCCAAGCAAAATAAAAAGCGTTATGTTTAATAATCCTTTCTGAATTACAACTTTCACAATAAATCCTGAGGTGGTTGCAGTGTGGCTGGAGGAAGCATCTTCCATTGGGGCGTATGGGTAAGTTAAGGTCCCTGGGAAGCCGTGGTGCAGAGCAGAGGAGCTGGCGGCCTTGGAGGCCTCGTGCCCAGGCTCCTGGACCCACCACGGGCCCGCCACTGGCCGGGTTTGCTGAGAAGCAGCCAGTGAACGTGGGCTGTGGGGAGGCTGGCGGGGACACCAAGGGACAGACAGCTTCAATAAACAAACCCGGATCACCCAGCCGAGTGCTTGTCCACTCCCAGTCACACAGGTTTCTGCTTTTGAGCCCCCAAGACGGTGGCAGAGGGTCCTTGTGCTGGCCACAGACCCGGCTCCCCGGTTTCTGTGGCGGTGGGCGGGCCTCTCCCTGTACGCTACTCACAGACCATGTGGCAGAGCAGGACCTTTGACGCTTCTGGAAGAGCTGCTCTCATTGTCCCTGGGAGAAACGGGAGGACACCACAGATCACAGACGCTCCAGGGTAGTGCCTTCTTCCCACTTGCAGGAGCTGGGTGTCACCCTTGGCCACCACAGGTCATTGAGGGACAGGCCTGGAGCCCTGAGTCTCTGCTGCAGCCACTTCTCTCTTTCTGATCTTGTCGGGTCCTTCTCGACACCCCGCTTGCCTGTGTCCTGCGGTCCTCTCTGCAGTCCAGGACCCCACACCAGTGGCTGCTGTCTCCCCAGCCCCTGGGAGCTGGAAATATTTGGGGCAAGATGTTATGAAAACCCTCTTGTCACAAAACACCAGAAAGGTTAAATAAATTGTAACAAACATCTTTTAAAATGTGGAGTCAACCTTGTAAGAAGGTAAAGGGGACAAAACGAGGAGCACAGAACGGAAAGGCAGCCCTGAAGTCCCGATGGCCACGAGGTCCTTACTGTGTCAGTTTCTGGAACCTAGAGCTTTGCGGTTTGCCAGCTTTGGGTCCAGCAGGGTGTGCACTTGGAACTGAGGACCTGAATAAGTCTGGGGTCCTTAAGGGGACATTGCCTCAAGGAAGGGGAGGGAGGGTAAAAATCTGCTCTGGCAAAGAGAGAGACTGACATCACTCGTCTGCCTGGTCCTCAGATCTGGGTGGGAAAAAGATTCTGTAACATCTGCTCAAGATCGTGCCTAAAGGAGGTTAACGCCTGATGAAGTGGACAGGGCAGGCCTGGGCGGCCTCCCCTGCGGGCCGTGGGTTGAATGCAGAAGGGGAAGAGGCAAGGCAAGACGTTTCCCCAAACCCACACCAGATGGTGCCATCAGCTCAGCACGGCTTGGCTGCCCGCTCTCACGGAGCAAAGGACTGATTCCCTTACTGCTGCCTCTGCTCAGGAACTGGCAATGCAGGTAGAAGGGACGGTCTCAGTTAACCCATAGAGAGCAGACTCGCGGTTGCCCTGGGAGTGGGGAGTACCTGCTGACGGGGACGGGCTTTCCTTCTGGAGTGATGGGAATGTGGAACTAGATGGAGCTGGTGGTTCCACAACATTGTGGACGTACTAAACGCCATTGAATTGTGCACGAAAATGGTGAACGGTTTAAGAAAAGAATGTGAGAGAGGGAGACAGTCTCAATCCTGAAGTTCGTGGGTGTCGGGACAAACAGACCATCTTGAGACCACGTGAGAGGCACGGGTGCCACGGCCTTCCAGAGCACAGCGGGTGCGTGGAATCAGAAGGATGCTGCGATGAGGTCAGGGGTCAGCTGCACCTTGGGGGACAAGTCCAAGGAGACCAGGAGAAGCAGAGTGTCCTGAGCAGAACTAGGAGGGCAGAGGCCGTGTGTGAGCGAGGACTTCCGTGTGCCTGGAGCCTCAGGCGCACACGGAGAATGGAGACCACTGAAGCTAGAGAGACAGGCAGGGCTAGATCATAAAAGGCCTTACAGGCCACTGGAGAAGGTTGGCTTTTATTCTAAGTGCAGACAAAAGTAGCTGGAGACTTTTAAACCCCAAAGTTGCTCGATCTGTGTTCTAGAAGGATCATGCAGGCACCGTGACATCAGCACAACGTTTAACCTCCCAGCACTAAAGGCCTTAAAGATGAATGTCATAAACAAAACTGAGTTTTTTGGGATTTAACCCTTTGTGTTTCTGGAGTTACTCCCTTTTGCCCCTGGGTACTCTCAAGAAAAAAAAAAGCCATTTCCGTTTACTGAAAACAGAAAACACAGTATTATTTACATTTCTAAAAGAACATTTTTCAGTGGGCGAGAAGGTGGGGCTGGAGTTGATAGCGGGTTCTGTCTTCTGTTCCATTGACCCGTTTATCTGTCTCTCCCTCAGTGCCACACAGTCTCGATTCCTGTGGCTGTGTAGTAAGTCTTGAAATTGGGTAGACTCATCTCTCACTTTATTCTTCTTTTTCAAGAATTCTTTTAGCTATTATCGTTCCTCTGCTCTCTCATATAAATTTTAAAATAATCCGGTTTATGTCGGCAAAAAATCCTCCTGGGATTTTGATAGGAAATACGTTAAGCCTGCATATCACTTTGAGGAGAATTGGCGTCTTCACGATGCAGAGCTTTCTGATACAGGAAGACTATCTATCTTTCCTCCTCCTCAGACCTTCTCTCATTTACGCCACCTGCAGTGTGGAGTTTTCAGCATATAAGTTGTGCATATGTTATTAGATCTACATCTAAGTATTTATTTTTTAGCGATCGTAAATGGCATATTTTTAATCTCAGTGTACACATATTACTCCTTGCTGGTCTGTAGAAGTATAGTTGGTTTTTTTATATTTATCTTGGGTCCTGCAACCTTGCTAAGCTTCCTTGTAAGTGTTAGAAAGCTTCTTGTAGATCCCTTGGGGTTTTCTACATAGACAACCATATCATCTGCAAAATGGCACAGTTTCATCTCTTCCTTTCCTATCTGTATGCCTTTTATTTCCTTTTCTTGCCTTTTTCTAGCCTTCACACCGGCTGGAACTCCCAACGCTGTACTGAGTAAGAGCGATGAGAGTGGGCATTCTTGTTCCCCATCGGAGGAGGAAAGCATCCAGTCTTTCTCCAGTAAGTATAGCGTTACCTGAGGTTTTTTGTAGATGTTCTTTATTAAATTGAGGACGTCCATCCCTCCTGTTACCTCTTCTCACGTCCGTTTACCCTCCCCCTTTGTAATAGTATTGACTTGAATATTTCCTCTAATCCTACCTTCATCCATAAACTGTGCCATGGTGTTGTCTCAGCCAGGGTCCAAGATGCCTTCCAGGGGTCCTCAGCCCCTCCTGTCACCTGGCCTTGCACAGCCCCCTCCCACACAGAATAGGGCCGACCTGCCTAACGACAGGACACTGTGAAAACGGTGGCGTGCCACTTCCAAATGTGGGTCATAAGAGACACCGCAGTTTCTGCCTTGCTCCCTTAGATCATTTACTCTGAGAGGAGCCAGCACCCTATCATGAGGAAGCTCAAACAGCCCTTTGGAGAGGTCAAGGTGACGGAGAACTGAGGCCGCCTGCCAACGGCCGTGTGAGTGTGTCTCCTGGGAAACGAATCCTCCATCCCCAGCAAATCTTGGCCAACACCTCAACTGAAACCCCCCGAGAGCCGCTGAGCCAGAACCACCCAGCAAGCCGCTCCCAAATTCCAGCCGTCAGAAACAGTGTGAGACGGTCAGGGCTGATCGCTGCGTTAGGCCCCGAAGCCTCAGGGTGATTTATGGGGCCTCAGTGCGGAACTGCTGGAGATGTTTCGGTTTTTTATTTGAATCCAACAAAGAATGGGCATGGGCTCCCTTAATGCAAAATGTGCCTGTGCTGACGGGCATACCCTGACACCATCCGTGAGGGGGCAGCATTTAGGCCCCTTCAAATATTTATCAAAATGTATAAAATGCCCTTTAACCCCACAGTTCCATTGGTAGGATTTATCCTGGATACACTTGCACGTGCTCATAAATGTCCACCCACAGGGGGCTGTTAGATAGAGTGCCGAGCATCTGTGCAAAGGAACCGGACAGCTCACCAAGGACAAGTGCCGCCTGGGAGCCATCGCCAAGCTGCAGCGACAGCTAACAAAGCTCGCTGTCCTGTGTGGTCACTTCCAATAGCATTATTCCTGTGACTCAGTAATTCCAGTCCTGGGGGGGCACCCGAGAGATGCTCTCATATACATGCTCGTGGCTTTTCACAACAGCATTGCTTTTTAAAAAATAAACTTTGAATTTTGGAATAATTTCAGATTTATAGAAAAGTTATAAATTTAGTATGGAGAATTCTTGTGTACCCCCCGCCAGTTTCCCCTAAGATTATCCTCTTACTTAACCATGGTCCATTTACTAAAACTAAAAAATTCACATTGATACACTATTAACTAAATGATACACATTTCATACATTTTTCTATGAATGCTTATTTTCTGTGTCAAGGTCCAGTCTAGGAGCCCAGATTACATCTAGGATCCCACGATTTTAGAAGATCATGGTGTTTTCCTTAAAAACCAGATTTATTGAGAGATAATTTGCCTACCATATAATTCACCTATTTAGAGTGTACAATTCAATGGCTTTTAGTCTATTCACAGAGTTATGGAAATATTGCCACTATCTAATTCCAGAACATTTTCATCGCCCAAAAAGAAACCCTGTATCTATTATCAGTCATGCCTTGCTCCCCTCCCCCCAGCCCCAGGCAACCACTAATGTACTTTCTGTTTCTATGGATTTGTCTGTTCGGACATTTCATGTAAATAGAATCATACAATACGTGGTAA